CCGCCGGGCGCCCGAGCCCGTCGGGGGCTTCGCACGCGGTGGGAGGGAAAGCCCAGCGTAAGGTGAATGTTTAAAAGCTCCATTACCTTTCCAAGAGAAGTGGGTGCTGAATTTATTTTAGTCTCCCAATTCTGCAATTTCTGAAATGGAGTCATCATAAATTGGGGAAAATGAACATTTTTCTGAAGAATTTATTGTGCCACTTACAGTAAATTTTTATGAGCAATTAAAGATTAAATATTAGAGTGTGGAGTTTAATAGTTTCTGGCGGAAGAAGGTACCGATTTCCACAAAAGTGAAAGGACATCAGAAAACTTGAGAAGAATTTTACGCCCCAAACGTTCCAGGAATGTCTTCCTTTCACAGTCAAAAAGCCTCGATTTATTTGAAGTATTTTTAGGTCGTATTAATCCTTTATAGAGGTCTGAAATAGTCATTATTTTAATGATCACATATGCTTTTTAAATCACATCCAAGGAGAATTTAGCTATTAAAAATTTAAAGCAATTTTAAACTTTAAAAACTGTCAAATGTTTATTTTAAAATTTTTTAAATAATGCTGAAATGCTTGTGGAAGTCAGTTGAAATGTTTTCTCCCCCATAGATGAAATGAGAATTTTAGTGTCATTTTTAGCCATACAGTTCTTCAGGAAACTAGGTAAATTATAAGCTCTCTAGAATACAGGGGGGTTGGGGAGGGGGGAGAAAGAAAATAAACCCTGATTTAGAACTCAAATAGGGCATTGTTAAATTGCAAGAGACAGCAAGAACTTTTTTAAAAAGTCGAGGCTTCACAGATCGCGTCTTTAAAACGGCAGCCTCAGAGCCCAGGCTGCCTGCAAAATGGATACAAGCAGAGTGGGGGGGGGGGGAAGGGCGCCAGTCACGAGTTGTTTGAAATCCGACCACACTGCTCTTATTTATTAAAATGCTCCCATTTTATTTTATTTTTTAAAATCTAATGCGATTCCCATACAACACAGGTAAGTAATTTGCTTTATGTATAATGACAGTTTCATTTTCCTGACTCTAAATATCAGAGCTTTTAGGTCCCGTTAACAGAAAGGCAAAGTTAAGGTCAAATTCTTCATGCATGCCCTTTCTACAAAAAGTAAAGAAATATCTTAACAAAATTTATGACTGCAAGACGAGATAATATTCAATGGCTACAAAGGAAAATGGTAAAAAAGAAAAAAAAAGAAAGAAAAGAAAGCAATGCTTTCGTTCTGTTTCGTTTCTTGTTAGTCACAGAGCAACTTTTGTTGTGATTCCTAATTTTACAAGACCTTGAAGTTTTGCTTTTGTGTGTGTGTGTGTGTGTGTGTGTGTGTGTGTGTGTTTTAACCAAAAGATGGTGGTAATATAAACAATCCGACAAGGGGTGACGCTAATTTTGAAAATAAAAGTGTACGTAATTTTTACACGATGAACATGTATTTTAAAGACGTGATTCCAAACAAGAGACGTGGGCGGGCATTTTCACTCCCGGGCTTGCTTTTCGGGGATGCTCACAAGCAGGGCTTTTTGACCGCCGGGAAGGTTTGTACTTTCGCTAAAACTTGAATGCAAGTTTTCAACTCTGTGTTCTAAAAATCCTGCTCCCAGAGCGGGCCCTCCCCAGCCTCCTCGTCCGGGAGGGGCCGGGGACACAGGCACCGTCGCCCCCGCCCCCCGCTCCTCTGAACCTGGCAGCCTCCCACACGTAGAACACCGGAAATTTCTAGGAGGACTCCAAGCCTCACTGGGAAACTTCTCGTGCTGGGAAAAAGCTTCTCCACGCACACCTGGATCTACAGATTCGGAAAAATTAACCAGCTGTAGCCAAAAACGAAAACACTCAACCGCCCGAGCACAGTCTGCAAGAAACACAGAGCCCTTTGAGGTGCATGACAAGAAGACATAAATAAAATAGCTCCAAGGCAGACAGGCTGAATGAGCCTTTTAAGACAGCCTGTGGGTGCCTCAAACTTTAATATTAGAGCATGAAATGTTAGCAGCACGAGGAAAACATCCTGGGGGGGGGGGGCGCACACATGCGTGCACCCGAATGTGCGTGCCTGTCCGCACATGTGCGGGTATGCGTGAGTCCGTGTGTGCCTGTGTGTGTAGAAATGAAAGTCTTACTGTCCCTTGGGCGGGAGGCTGACCCGAGGTCCTGGCAGAGCTGCGTGCCAGGTGAGAGGCCCTCCCTGCACTCTCTTTGGGTCGCTGTCTTTCTCTTTTCTTCTTTTTATCCTTATCTGAGGACATTTTTTCATTGTTTTCAGAGAGAGAGAGAAGGAAGGAGAGACAGAGAGAGAGGGAGAAAGAAACATCAATATGAGAGAGAAACATTGATTGGTTGCCTTCTTGTACACATCCCAACCAGGGATTGAACTGACGACCTAGGTATGCGCCCTGACCGGGAATTGAACCCAAGACCCTTTGGTCTACGGGACATCGTTTCAGCCAACACAGCAGCCAGGACAGGTCACTCCCTTTGTCGTGACATGCACGCAAACATCCAAAGCCAAGGAAAATACGACCGGCTGCCGATAACAAGGACCGACCTCAGTACGAGCCTCTCCCTGCAAGACAGAGCCGTGTTGGCCGCGCGGCCAGCCAGGCTGACCTCACTCACTGTCCCCAGGACAAAGGCAGCGCAACAGTGTTGGGGAGGGAGGCCGGGCTGAGGGGTGGGCTGAGTGCTCTCCTCCTGGCAACGTGGATCCCTCGGAAGGGAAGGACAAATGGTGTGGCCTGAGCCGCGGTCCGGACCCTGCAGCCCGGCCTGAGGCAGGCCGGGCCCTCCGCAGAAGGACTCAGCCCCAGGCCTGGGCCCTCCAGTGCTCGCGCCGGGAGGAGAGGGGTCTCCAAACCAGCAAATCTGATCCCCCAAAGTGGGGGCCATCTTGTTGTCAGGCTCAAAGGCCTGGCGGTACTGGGAGGTTCTTTATCTTGCCCGGTGTCTCCCTGTGCTTGGCCCACACCCTCCCGCGGCGACTGCAGAGTTTCGACACAGTCCAAGTCAGCAAAAGCACCCCACGTGCTCAGTACGTGCCAGGTACCAGGTGAGCGGCGAACATTCTAGTCCTAAGCCCCCCTCACAGCGGAAAGTTTTTCCTATCGGTGAGGTCGGCGCCTGCGGTGCCCACAGCGAGCGCTGCCCGCCCGCCGCACGTGACCCTCGCACCCCGGGAGGAGGGCGCACGGGAGCGGTCACACCGCCCGGAGGCCCGGGAAGCAGGGGCCTGCGGATGGAGTGCTGACGTGGCTGATGCTGCACAGGCCCAGACCCGGGCCCTCCAACCACGGCCTGCACGCATGCCGCTCGGTGATTTTTTTTATTTTTGCTTTTCTTTTTAAAAGAAAAACATCACCCCCACCCCCTCCTCGCACTCCTACACACATAGGCTTATTTTATAGGTAAGAACAGTTCCCAGGAAAAACAGAGCCTCATTGAAATCTGGGTCCCAGAAGGGCCTAGAGCCGGCCAGCCTGTGTGACCCCCCTCCCCCGCCCCGCCCCCACAGCCGGCTTCAGTCATCTGAGGCGCACACCCTCCCCGCCAGGTGCATCCTGGTCGCCCCCACACACTGGGCTGGGAAGAATGGACCTCCGGTGTGAAATCACAGGCGCGGGCCCCCCGCTGGGCCCGCCAGAACCCTCCCCACAAAGTCGCCTCGCCTGCCCGCGCTGCGGGGTCACGCCGCTCTCCACGCGCCGTCCTTTCTGCTGGGGGGCCGGCACCCAGCAAGGAGGGGCTCCCTGGCCTAGCAGCCCCACCTGAGCCTGCCCCCTGCCTGCGGCCCTCTGGGAGCCCGGCAGGCTCCTGTCTGTGGTCTCAGCATAAGAGGCCGGGCAGGTAACCAGGAGGACCTGCGAAAACCTCAGTCTCCCACCAGCAAGCACCGCCGGTGGCGGGCACCTGGGCAGAAGGCTCGCTGCGGCGCCTCTCTCCTGGAGGGGTGGCCAGGGCGCCTTCGCCTGGGCGTCGGCGTCCTGCGGGGGCAGACAGGGACCCTCAGATCCAGGTGTTAATCCCCCGCAAAGGGGAAGGGAGGGTGGGCGCTGTGGTTGTTGGAGGAAGGGATGAAGGGAGAGGGAACTGGGATGTTTGGGAAACAGTTCTGTGGTAGGTGGTCATAGCAGGGCATGGCTCCACAGGGCCCCCCTTTCCAGCAGAAGTCTGCGCCATGCCTAGAAAGGTCCCAAGCGCCTGCCTCCCCCCCACGGTACATGCAGGGCCCCAGCCCCCTCAGCACTGTGGCAAGGCAGGGCCCTGCACCCCCAGACCGCCAGGCCAAATTCCACATTGGCATGTGCCACCCCACAGAACTCAGAAACAAACGTAACATTTTTTAAAAAGTCTTCCTGGCAGGCTCTGGCCAGGTAGCTCCGCTGGCTGGAGTGTTGTCCTGGACACCAAGGTTGCGGGTCTGACCCCTGGTCAGGGCACCTACAAGGAACAAGTGGAATAAGAAACTGATGTCTCTCTCTCTCTCTCTCTCAATCAAAAAAAGAAATATAAATAAAATATCTCCCTGGCAAATCCCGGGGAACAAAACTGAAATCAGCAAGGAGGCCTTGCAGGCCGCGGTGGGGGGGCAGGGGGAGGCCTGCCGCCCTCCTAGGCCAAGGCTCTTTTCCTTTTGAAGGTAATTACAAGAGAAAGTTACACACACACACACACACACAGAGCTTTAAAATAAAATAAGTTACAGGATGCAATCTCCAAAGCTTCTCGGGGTAAAAATTATAACCTTGTCTAGCATTTGAGGAAAAAACAAAGAACACAGGACACGGAATGACCGGTCCAGAATTCGGTGTCAACTGGCCTCCTCGCACCTGGGCATCCGGCGGCAACTACCCCGGTGCTGGGACGGCTGCGGTCTGGCTCCAGGGAAGCCTTCGCAAGAGGGCTCTCCGCGGAGGGGTCGGAGGCTCCTGGTTTCCCTCACGGGGGCCTCTGGGCTCTGCTTTCCTCCCCCATTTGCAGGGCTCCCGGCAAAGAAAGAAAATCAGGGCGCAGCAAGCTTCTCCTGTCGGCGCCTCCGCCCGCGGCCCAGGCGCGGCGCGGCGCGGCCGCCCAGCCCCGGAGGCGGAGGCCGGCGCGCGTCTGCTCCAGGCCGCCCGGGCTCGCCGCGCAGAGCTGCGCGCAGGTCCGCGGGTCCGCCGAGGGGAGGCCAAGGCGGGGAGTGCAGCAGTCCGGCAGGCACGGGGTCCGGGGTGGGCACGCGGCGGGGTTTCAAGTCCGAGTGTACGGCCGGGCCCACGTGGGCCTGGGCCGGGTCCGCAGCCGAGCCAGGCAGGGGCTCGGGACCGACTCCATCCTGAGCCGAGCCCGCGTCCAGGGTAGGCATCCGAGTCTGCACCGGGGTCGGGGTCCGAGCTGCGGTCTGAGGTCGGCGTCCAGGTCCGTGCCCGAGTCTGTGTCCCGGGCGCAGCCGGGGTCTGGGGCAGGAGGCCCGGCGTGAGTCCGCGTCCGAGTCCGCCTCCGCCTCCGAGTCCGCGTCCGAGCAAGAGCTGGGGTCCGAGCTGGGGTCCGTTTCGGGCTCGGAGTCCGAGTCCGTGTCCAGGCGGCAGCTGGGTCCGGGGCGGGAGGCCGCGTCCCAGGCTATGTCCGGGGTTCCATCGGCAGGGTGGCCAGTTGGGGCTGAGAGAACCGCGGTCTGGAGGCGGAGGCCGCGGCGCGTCACGGCAGAGAACGCGATGCGAGCCGGGGGCCTGCGTCCGAGTCCGAATCCCGAGCTGAGCTGGGATGCCGCGACGGGATGAGTCTGCGATCGAGTCAGGGTCCGGGTCCGCGTCCAAGTCCAAGTCCGAGTCGAGGGTGGAACCGGGGTCCGACCCGTGGTCCGCTTCGGAGCCGGAGACCGAGCCCGCAGCCCGGGCTTGGGGCCCGAGCCCGTGTCCTGTGCGCAGCCGGGATACCAGGTAGGAGGCCCCGTGCGAGTCCGAGTCCGAGTTCGCGTCCGAGGAAGAGCCGTGGTCCAACTCGGAGTCCGAGTCCGTGTCCGGGCGGAGCCGGGTCCGGGGAAGGAGGCCGGGTCCCAGTGTGAGTCCGGGGTCCCATCTGCAGGGCGGCCGGTTGGGGCCGAGAGCACCGCGGTCTGGAGGCAGAGGCCGCGGCGCGGCAGGCAGAGATCGCGGTGCGAGCCAGGGTCCTGCGTCCGAGTCCGAACCCCGAGCCGAGCTGCGGTCCAAGGTCGGGGTGCGTCTGCTTCCCGGCCTTGGTCCGGAGCGTACCCGGGTCAGAGCCGTGGTCCGTTGCAGAGTCCGAGTCCGCGGCCGCGGCCGGGCTTGGGATCCGAGCGCGCGTCCGAGTGCGCGGCGGCGGCGGCGGCGGCAGCGGCGGCGGCGGCGGCACGCACTCCGATCGGCCGCGTTCCGGGCCGCGCTCCGAGCCGCGATCTTGGGGTCGGACAACAGGGCCTTACCCGGGGCTGGGCGCACGGCTGGGTGGGGTTTGTCCGTGTTCGTGGCCGTGGCCCGGTGCGGGCTGTGGTCAGGGTCTGACCCGGGGCCGGGGCGGGGTACCAGCCGGTCTCGGCCGCGTCCGCGCGGAGGTGGCGGCGGAGCTGCGATCAGCCACAGGCAGCGCTCGGGGTCCGTGCGGGCGTCCGCGTGCGAGTCCGAAGCCAAGTCCGCGTCTGCGCCGAGTCCGCATCTGCATCCCAGGCGGAGCCGCGCGAGCCGAGCCGCTACCCGTGTCCGAGTCCGTGCCCGGGTCTGCGGCAGCGACACGCGCGGCAGTGAGCCACGGCCCGCACTTGGGGACCGTGTCTGCCCGCAACTGCGGTCCGCGTCCGACCCTGGGTCCGCTGTCCGCGTCCGGGTCCGCGTCCGGGTCCGCGTCCGGGTCCGCGTCCGCGTCTCAGTCCGAGCCCAGGGTCCAGGCCCTGCCCAGGTCCAAGTCCTGGGCGGCGGGCGGCACGCGCCCCAATTAGCCGCAGGCGGGCGGCCCCATTGAGGGCGAACAAAGGGCACGACCCCGGGTCAGGGCGTCGCGGGCCGGCGGCCGCCGCTTTGTTCGCTGCACTGTTTACTTTGCCGAGCGAAGCGCACAATATAGTGACTAAAGCGGATTAGGGGGTCGCGCCCCGGAGGCCTCGGGACCTCCCAGCCGGGCCTCCTGGGCGGGTGGGCGGGCGGACCTGCCGGGCGGACCCTGCGCCTCTGGGGGGCGGGAAGCAGAGGGCCCGGCGCTCACCTGCGCCACGTGGCGGCGAGCCCGGCACTGCGAGAGCCTCCCGCCGGGCGTGTCGGCCGATGGGCCGTTCTGTTCTTTCCCGACGCCGCATCTTTTCAAGATTGTACCCTTCCCAGCGCTGTTGGTCCTGGAAACTCATTGCACAGGAAAGCAAACGCCACTCGCTTGAAAGCTAAAATATTTTATGTGGAAACACAAGACAGATTTTTTTCCGTATTCCCAAACCCTGCAGCATTATGGTTAAAAAAGGAAAATTCCCGCCTTTTATTCCACACAAGCCACGCACCCCAGAGAACGAGCAGGTGACTTAAGGGTGCAGAATAGTATGTTGTATACAGACATCCTGAGAAGTGCCACTTGCGGGGATGGGGGGATTGTTTTCTTTCTTTTCTTTTTCTTTCTCCTTTCTTTCTCTTCTCTCTCTCTCTCTCTCTCTTTCTTTCTTTCATTCTTCCCTCTCTCTTTCTAAAGACAGCAATGATGCATACAAATAAACCACTAAGATTTCCCCCAAAGCCCACAGTTTATCACCTGGCATTATGAATTCAAGATCTATATACTTCTCCAGTAGAAACTTGCACAATATTTTCAGTTGCCTTTAAAAACCAAGCAGTCTGCACAGGAAGCACGAACTCATGACCAAGCGCAGAATCTAACAGGGGAGGGTGGTCCTCTGACAGAGTATCTAAGGAGAATGACTTTTTCCCCCCTTTCCCAATGCTATTGTTTAGGGGACAAAAATACTTCTCCTTAAGTTCACGATAAATCTTGAGATTTTTACGCCAGGGCTGTGCAAGTATGCATGTTTGGTTAGGGAACCCATGGAGTGTTTATTAATAAGCTACCAATGTACAAATCTTTTCTGAAAGAACGAATAATGTTTACTTACTATACATATTTGTTGGCCTAACGAATATTTCTGCTATGCGCCATCTCTCCACAACTACTGAAGGAACATATGCCATTTATCTACATTTCCACTCACAAGCCTTTAAAGGGGATTTTTTTTTCCTGCTTATAAAAATGCCATGTGTTGAGAGAAGGCACAGCTAAGTCTAAAGTATAAGTAATGTAGGAGTAAAATATAAAGGGGGAAATTTAAGATAGAGACCATTTAAGCAGTCAGTGTAAAATATAAATAATTCAAGTATAAAATATACGGAGAAAGAAAAATTCACCTATATGCCATTATCCAGAAATAATATTCTGTTGTATTTCCTCCCCAACAGTCAACATAGGCATACAATTACATCATTTGCATGCGCATTTACTGTTTCTGAAACGTTGTATCCCCATGTCGTTACAAATGCTTTGTCAACAGCATTTTCACAGCCCCACAATATCCCATTATTTTGTTACATGAAAATTACCGAGGGGCTCCCTATTATTTCAAATTTCTTTTCTTGGAAATATCTCTCTGCTCTGATGGACATGACAACCCGTGGTCTCGCCTGCGACCTCTGTCCGCAACGATGTCTGTTGCCGAGGCTGCCGAGGCTGCCGAGGCCGCCACGTCGTCTAAGGGGGTGGGGGGGGCGGGCAGGCCCCCCAGAGTCTCCATCTCCTGTGAAAAATGAACTCAGAACTTCCAGAATTCCCCTTGGCTCACACGTGGCCCAGAAAGCAACGTGGAAGTCAGCTTGCCCCACCCACCCGGCGCCCGAGGACAGGGAACTCCCGTCCAGTGGGTTCGCGGGACCCGCTGAGGCTCCTGCCCAACTGCGACATGGAGTTTGGGGACTGTGCGGGCCCACCTCCGCCTCCGCGTCGCCTGGCGCCAGCCTTCGCCGCCTCAGGACCTTAGGTTCATCGTGCTGAGCACCTTGGAAACATCTGAGCAGCTCTGATGAACCTTTGCCCCGCTAAGAAACAGGGCTTCCGATTTGGCCCAAGCCTTTTTCTTTGCTGAGACTTCGAACTTCAGACTCAGTTTTCATGGCACCGCAGGGTCCCCACCTCCCTGCCCTGCCCTGCGTGGAGAAGGCCGAGCATGCCCTGCTCTGTCCCCAGGCTTAGGCCCTGCCACGCACGCCCTCGCCTCCATGCCCCGATGGGCCCGCGGGCTGGGCTCTGCTGTGGGGCTGTGCTGGCAGTTTGTCTGATGCCACCGGCCCGAGGCCTTCGCCCCAGACACGAGGGCCCGCGCCCGCCCGCCTGCGGGAGGTGGCCTGTGGGCCAGAGGGGAGCACTGCCCCGGAGGCGCGGGGTCCCAGCTGACAGCATCGCGGAGGCACCGAGAGCAGACGCTCTGAGGGCCGACCGGGCAGAGGGAAGGCTGGAGGCCGCTCGCGTGCATGTGACCAGAGCTTTACTGGGAGGAGACCGAACAATTTTTCCCTTACACTCACTTTCCAAATTTTCTACTTCTACAAAGTTTATATTGCTTTGATAATTAGAAAATAATCATATTAGGGATGCAACTACATTTCTTAGAAGTCAAATAGATCTCATTCACGTAAGAATAAAGTGAATTACCGTTAATGAGTTTACAGAAACAATGAACCGTATATTGCCAGGAAAGTTATAAAGATGCTAATGGCCGAGACGCGTCTCCAGCACATTCCCCGGTCAAGAGAAACACTTTCAAATAGAAAAGGAAAGCGGACGGCTTCGCTCTGCAAATCCTGGCTGCAAATCCGGGCCATACTAGCCCGGAACAGCGCTTGTTGCTGGGCTGGGGCGGACACTTCCCTTCTCGTCTGAAATCTGGGAACCTGAGTTAAGAGCCCCAGGACTTGAACAGAGGCTTTGAGGCTCCAAAGTCCCCGCAGCAGCCTCTAGACCTCCAGCCCCGGCACCTTCCTGCCGCGGTGGTGGTGCGGGGGGACGTTTCCCCAGGGAGCCAGTGTGTTTCCTGGCATTCCAAAAATTTTTTTCCCCCATTCCTGGAGGTGGTGCCTGCAGCCTGGGGGAGGGGGGGGGTATTGCAAGGAGTGAGGGTTTTGTTGGGTTTGCTCTAAAACACCGCTGTTCGCGCAGGGTCCAGGTATCACTTCTTGAGAGGCGTGCGGGCCGCAGCGTACGGACGGCCCTGGGATGCGGCCCGCCGAGCTGTGATGGTACCTCAGCCAGGCAGGGACTATCTTTTTCACACGGTGACATTAGAGCCGAATGCCACACTCTTCCTGCGGGGACCCGGCAGGCAGAGGACAGCGACAGGAGCACATGCCTGGGGCTCCTCTTGGCCCAAGGGGGGCGGGAACGTGCCTCTCCTTGTCTTACTCTTTTTGCAGTGGGCCATTTCCAGCCCCTTGGTAACAGCAGATGGGAACAAATCTACAAATCAAATGCATTTGCTCTGAAGTCTCTTTCTTTAAAAGTGAGGGAAAAGGCGAGCCAGCAGGCAGTTTTCTACTGTAAAAGGCAATTTCTAAATTTGGGTTTGGAGGGGGGGAAATTGTCCTCCAGCTTGAAAATCCAACGGCTCTCAGAATGCAAGTAAGATTCTCTTTGTGCTGAAATCATCTCAACTGGTTTAAAATAAATCAGAACAAAACGACGCGAACTGAGCATATGTCCCCCATCACCCGCCTTCTGCAGGCGGCAGTGGGACGCGGCAGACAGCCCGGTTCCCCTGCGAGTGCGGGGACCGGCCCCGGCCACGTCCCAGGACTCTGACCCGGGAGGCACAAGGCCCAGGGAGCAGAGAGACCTAAGCTTTTTAGATTCCCGAGACAGCCCCAGTTTTAGACAAGGAGTAAATTATAAACTAAATATCATAAAATGTAATCAACAGGTAAGATAAATAAATCGGAGACATTCACTCCCTCCGAGAAGACGGGCCCGTGGAGCTGTTAAGCCGTTCCTAGGTGGGCACTTTTTAAAAAGACCCTCTATTTTACTCGCCCCCCTCGTACAGGGTTCGGCAGACCGTCCCCGCCTCCTAAAATAAAAACACATGCCGCTTCAATTTAGCAAAGAAACGCCGAAGTGCAGAATCTCTGCACAGATAATTCTTAAATTAAAGAGAGACTGTTCGCTGTGTTTTATACCTTTTGCGGGGGGGGGGGCAGTTACCTTCTCCACGTGTTAATAATTTAACTGTCAGACCACAACAAACAGCTAATTCCGTCTCTGGATTGCGACCCAGAAGGGGAGATTTTAATTGTAACTGCTAAATAGCAAATGCCGGCAGGAGTCCTGCTTTCAAAGCGTCCCCAGACGGGGCTGGGACAGGACTAATTTATTTTATCTTCTCCGTCTATCTAGGCACAGGGTTAAAATATTTATATCAGTCTGTGCGCTTGAAAACACGCGGTGAGGGCACCAGCTCCAGGGCCCCTCCTTCACTTTCCCAGTTTGGGCTTCTCATTGTTTCCAGAAACGCACAGCCCCGGCCTGGTGAAGACTCCCCCAACAAGGGCCGAGGAGACCTCCGCGCGGGGAGCCCGGCCCGCTCGGCGCGGCCCTGCCGCGCACCCGACCGCCCTCGGCGGGCTGCTCCGACAGCCACGGGCCGCCGCGGAGCCGGCGCCGGCGCCCGAGAGGAGCCGCGGAAGCCCTGCAGGCACAAGCCCGGCTTCCAGCTGATGGAAGCCAGCGCCTGGCAGGGGTGCCAGGTAGGCAGAGGGCAGCAGGGGGTTAATCGGCCAGCGGGGAGGGGTCCAGACAAAAAGCCGGGCAGAGATGGGAAGCCGGCAGGGGCAGTGGGGCTGCAGGGCCCGGCCGCGCAGACACAGGGAGCTCTGTCTGCCGGCCGCTGCCCGGCACTGTGACTAACCGCCCCACTATTGTACCCTGAAGCCAGCCCTTTGTGCCTGTCCCCTGGCGTCTGGGAGCACCGTGGAGAGGCCTGTGCAGCAGCACCCCCCTTGCCCTGGAAACTTGCAGCCTTGACACCCATCCGTGCAGCTCCCGGGGTGGGCTGTGGGGGGCGAGCTGTGGGGGGTGGGGGCCGGGGGGGGCCCTCCTGGCCAGGGAAGCATCCAGAGAAAAAGCAGCAGAAAAAGCGGTCCCCCCCGCCCTGGGGGCCCTGGGGGCCCTGGGGGCTGTGGGGGCCGTGGGGCACTGAGCCCGCACTGCCGAGCCCACCAGGTCCTCTCCACGGGCTGCGCGTGGCCCCTGCGCTCACCTTTGTGAGTGACCAGGGGG